TATCACAGACAGTTCCCCAGGCTCCAGTTTCCACACTTGTCATTTTTTTTTTTTTTGAGTCTGAGGTTGCCAAAGGCTCTTACAGCTAATGGACCTTATGGCTCCCAAGGGCCCTTTAAAGGAGGCCCAGAGCTCTAGGGAGGTAATTACTCAAAGGAAATGCAGTCCCTGGGGGGGGGGGGGAGTGCGGGGGGACTGAGGACCCAGTTGGCAGGTGTGGGGAGTGCAAGCAGAACCCTCGCCTCTCTGCACATTCCACCCCTCCCACCCCCACCCTGCGCCACCGACTTCCCCAGTTCACGCTGGTCCCATCCGTCCAAGGGAAGGGGTTCCTAGGCTCTTTCTGGTGGGGTCTGGAGGCAGCTGGTTCTGGGGGGCATCTGGAATGCTGCAGCAGTATCACTGCTGAGCCGGACCTGCAGACGTCAGTGCCCACTTACTCCTTTCTCCAACTGGCCTTCTCCACTGGCCCTGGGTGGAGGCTGAGGGCTGGGCTCAGGGGCCAGTCTCAGAGGGAGAATCTTGTGTCTGCCTCCAAACCAGGGACTTCGAAATTAGAAGACCTGGAGCCAAATACCTACAACTCCACCCCTTCTCGACTTTGTCGGGACATTGCAGGATGCAAGTCAGGGCAACTTTCTACCTCAGTCTTCTCATCTGTAAAATGGGGCTCATATGCCACTGGCTGCAGTGTGTGTACGTCTGCCCGGGTCCAGTGGCTCAGTGGCAGGTGCCTGACACATGAGCTGGCAACAACAGTGGGAAGCTCCCAAGAGCAAATGTCATTATTGCTGCAAGAGCTGCTTGGGATGGAGAGGGGCTGGGCAGTGCCAGGCTCTGGCATTCATGTGCACTCTTTCCCACACCCAGGCGATTGCCTCTCCGGTGAGACAGAAAGAGCCATGCCCCGGGGGGCCACCCTGTGCTGAAGGGAGGTGGTGGAGGGTGAGAGGCAGAGGGAAGACACTGAGCTTGGCCTGCTATGAGGAGAGGGGGGCTTAGGACTCTGCTTGTGGTCCTTTGCCTTTGGATTCTACAGCACCTTTTTATTTATTTATTTAAAAAAATTTTTTTACTTTTTATTTTATCAAATCAGGCTGGAGCAATAGCACAGTGGTAGGGCATTTGCCTTACATGTGGCCGACCCGGCCGACCCAGGTTCGATTCCTCCTCCCCTGTCGGAGAGCCAGCAAGCTACCGAGAGTATATTGCCCATACGGAAAAGCCTGGCAAGCTATCCATAATGTATTTGATATGCCAAACACAGTAATAACAAGTCTCACAATGGAGACGTTACTGGGCCTGCTCAGTAAATCGATGAACAGTGGGAGGACAGTGCTATTTTATTGAATCACAATGAGATATAGTTACAAGATTTCATGTTAGGGTTACAATCACACAATGATCAAATACCCATCCTTTCCCCAGTACACATTCCCCACCACCAATATTCTCAGTATACTCCCCCTTTCCCACCCTCCCCCTGCCTCCATGGCAGACAGTATTCCCCATACCCTCCCTCTACTTTTGGGCATTATGGTTTGCAATGCAGATACTGAGAGGTTATCATGCTTGCTCCTTTATCTACTTGTCTACTTTCAGCACACATTTCCCATCCCAACCGATTCCTCCAACCCTCATTGTCTTTTTCTTTTTTTTCCATTTTTTATAATTTTATTTATTGAATCACCATGAGAGCAGTTACAAAGCTTTTGGGTCTAAGTCTCAGTCATACAATGAAACACCCGTACCTTCACCAGTGCCCATTCTCCACCACAAAAAACCCCAGTATACCCCCATCCCACACCCTCCCCCTGCCTGTGGGGCAGATGATTTCCACATTACTCTCTCTCTACTTTGATCACATTCACTATTTCGACATCAGACCCACCATTATTTGAGATTTTACCCCAACACTCAGATCTGCTGAAAAGGTAACAATAGACAATTTGTGTTCTATTGCTGGTTATGAATAACATATGATGTCGTGTGGCTGCAGTAGGGCCATGTGGTTTTGAAATTTCAAAATTTTAACACTTAAATCTGGAGGGATTTCTGCCAAAAGCCACTGGGTTTAGAGATCTGCTCCTGAGTCTCTGGGATCATGGCTGTTGAGCAGCTTGATGAGGAGCCAGAGAGGCCGTTCATGGGCGATGACTTGGGGTCTCGTTGGGGTGGGGAGGACAGGCCTGGCTCCCCCCTCCCCCATCCTGTGAGGCCCAACAAGTTTCGTCACTGTGGGCCAAAGCCTGACTGTCCAATGGCCTCTGGAGGATGACAGCCACCAAGTTACCAAGAGGGAGCAGGCGGAGGGACAACACCCTTTCCTCCCTGGGGTGGCCCGGTGACAGTAACGTACTGTGGAGTTCGGATGCATTTCTGCCAAAAGCCACTGGGTTTTGAGATTTGTTTCTGAGTCTCTGGGATCATGGCTGTTAAGCAGCTTGATCAGGAGCCAGAGAGGCCATTTGTGGGCGATGACTTGGGGTCTCGTTGGGGTGGGGCGGACAAGCCCGGCTCCACCCCCATCCCGTGAGGCCCTGTGTGTCTCATCACTGGGGGCCCAAATATGACTATCCAGTGGCCTCAGACGGATGGCGGCCACTGGGCTGCCAGGGGGAACAGGCCAAGGCACGAAACCTATTCACACCTGGGTTGGCCCAGCACCGGTAGCCTACTGCAGAGACCAGATGCATTTCTACCTAAAGCCACTGGGTTCTGAGATTCGTTTCTGAGTCTCTGGGATCATGGCCATTAAGCAGTTCAATCAGGAACCAAAGAGGCCTTGCCTCCAATTATATAGCTGAGCCGGAGGTGGTTTGTGGGTGTGTTTCCCACATACCTAACTTTTGGCTGTTTACTTTCTTGGTAAACTTTGCCCCAAGTTTTTGGGGTCTGGCCAAAGGCACAGCAGCAATTTTGGGGTATCTGAAAGTCTGAAGGCGCCATGAGGCTGCTGATGCACTCGCCTCACAGGTACAGATTGACCTGCTGGCGGCACCATACCCCCTCCAACCCTCATTTTCTTAGTGATCCCTTCTCTATTTCAGCTGCCTTCTCTCCCTGCACCCCCCCCCCCCATGAGACAGGCTTCCAACTATGGAGCAATATTCCTGGCCCTTGTATCTATTGTCCTTGGGTGTCGGTTTTGTGTTATGTTATTTTATACTCCATAAATGGGTGTAGTCCTTCTACATATGTCCCTCTCTTTCTGACTCATTTCACTTAGCACGATACTCTCCGTGTCTGTCCACTTATAAACAAATTTCATGACTTCATCTCTCCTAACAGCTGCATAGTATTCCATTGTGTAGATGTACCAAAGTTTCTTTTTTTATGCTGAAATTTCATATTCATTTTTAAAATGACTCTTGAGTTTATCATAAATAATAGTATCTCAAAATTTAAGACATTTTGCCATTCAAGAGTGTAAACCAGTCATCTGTTCCTGGGCATTTGGGTTGTTTCCAGGTTTTGGCTATTGTGGACAGTGCTGCAATGAACATATAGGTATAGGTATCATTTCTACTGTCCAGCACCTTTTTCATCTCTTCCATTCTACAAACCCTGTGGATGGTTGAGGAGTTGGGTTCAGAGAAGCTCAGTGACTAACACTGAGTAAATACAAAACAAGAGGCAGTCCAGATGGGTGAATCTGTTGGATAATCGTATTCTAAATTTTGGAATCCCTGGTTATTCTACAATGTACTCTACACCACTCATGTACCAAGAGTAGCACACAACATTCGATTGTTTTTTTTTCATTAAAAATAAACTTTACTGAAATGTATATTGTTTGGCATTAATAAATACACCCCAGATTTCTTAGGCATACTCTTCAAACAGCTTAATTTCCCCCCTCCATCTTTTGACTTTCAGTCATCTAGGTTTTTTTTTTAATTTTTAAAAAAATTTTTATTAGTGAATCACAGTGAGGTACAGTTACAGACTTACAAACTTTCGTGCTTGTGTTTCAGTCTTGCAATGCTTAAGTACCCATCCCTCCACCAGAACCCATCCCAGTATCCCCCCAACCTCCTCAACATATCCCCCCACCCTATCCAACATTTGATTGGGTTTAACAAACCTGTTAGTAATCTCTGATACAAGGTCTTAATGGCTCCAGGATGAAATCCAACAATCTTCACACACTTTCCTCTAAGGAGACTTTATTGGACCATTTTTAGTGGATTGCTCATAACAAGCAATACAGAATTAATTGTTTTGGTTCTGCTTTGGGGGACACGGTTTGGGATTTGGGGTGGAAATCTTTGAAATATGGTGGTGGGAAGGTGCAATGGTGGTGGTATTGGTGTTGAATATTAAATGTAATGAATTAAAATTAAATTGGGAAAAAGACTAGAGCATGGGAATATGAGGTTTATTTATTTACTTTTTTGCAGGGAGGCAGGTGGGTTTGGTCCACACTTGAGAGTGCTCAGGTGTTGATTCAGGTTCAGTTCTTAGGGTTTACTCCTGGAAATGTTCGGGGGATCATGTGGTGTTGTAGACTGAACCTGGGCGGGCTTCATGCTAGGCAGGTGCCTTGGCCCCTATACTCTCCCTCTGATCCCAGAGTGCTGGTGTTTTCAAACTCCCATTAGCTATAGGGCCTGACCAGGAACCACCCTAGGATTCCCAACCTGAAGTCAGTTCCTAGGAAGGCCCAGAAGAGGTCACTGATCTCTGATGGGTTTACAACAATATTTCACAACTGGGGGCCACATGGGGGCCTGTGAACCCTCAGGATATTCCGGGGGGTCACTAGTGAAAATCATGTAAACAGGGACCCACAGCACAAGGCTGGGGGCAACTGGTGGGATAGGGATATGGAGGACAGGAAAGAAACGAGGTCGCAAGCAGCCTGCGGTCGGAAAAGGTTGAAAATCCAGCACTTCTCAGGACGACAGGGTTGCCCCTCAGGTGATGGGTGCTGGACCTTCTGGGAGTCGCTGTCCCCCCACCCTCCATCACACCTGCTGCCCTCTGTCTGTCTGCAGGTGGATGGGGTTCTGTGTTTGGCAGACATCTTGACCGACAACAGCCACTCAGAGGCCACCCGGGCTGAGGCTGCGGCTGTGGTGGCTCAGGTCACATCCCCCCACCTGTCCTTCACCCAGCACCTCAGCAGCTTCCTGGAGAGCATGGAGGAGATCGTGACGGCTCTCATCAGTGAGTGGGGTCCTGGGCTGGAGAGGGGCTTCTCACAGTCCTCAGGCGGGCAAGGGCTTCCTGTCCCCCACTCACTGCATCCTACCAACTTGTCTCCTGCACAGAGGATCACACTGACTCATGCTTAGGAAGTGTCCAGGCAGGCTTTAAAGAATTTTACTGTCCAGTCTTCTATCAAAATGCCTGTAGACCCTAGAGTGTCTATGTAGACCCCTGAAGGGTCAATTCACTCCTGAAGGAGCTCCTGATTAGGTCAGTTTGGGGTGAATTGACCTTTCAGGATGGATACACCTCTTGGTGCTCCAGGTGGATATTGATACTTGGAAATTCAGATCTTTGGCCAGAGACTCTAATAGACTTGGTTCTGGATGTCTTCGTCATTGGCCTTATGTGGGGCAGCAAGGAGCGGACAATGGCTCCTCCAAGATCTCCCAACTTGCTGCCTATAGCCTCACTATGGCTCTCACACATTGGTGCCGGTGACTCTCTGGGATCCCTCGCCTGAGGCACATGTGTGTATTCCTGACTGGGTAATTATCCAGCCCATTATCCAGAAAGGCCACATTCTGGTGATCATTTGTGTTTCTGCTCATCTTAGTTCCTGTTCTCCCGCCCCACCTGCCCCACCCCTCTGTCTCTGTCTCTGCCTCTCTGCACCTCCCCTCCCCTCTTTCTCACTGAAACTGAGTGAAAAATGATTTTGTTAGACATTTTCAGGGGTTACTCTTAGCTAACAGGACTGGGGATATCTGCTAGAGCAGAAACCAGAAACTGTGGGGGCAGTATGGAACTCTGGGCTGGGAATCTGACACAGAGGCTGGGGTTTATCTTTTAATTTGTTCAACAATTTACTTCTGACCAGCATCCCATGCAGACTCTGTGTGAGATATTCCCATCACTGGCCACTCCCTTGGGAAGCCCTCTTTGCAATTTTCGTCATGGTTAAAAAAAGGAGTGGGGGGTTATTTCTCTCATGGGTCCTCTAAGTTTGGAATTTTAAGTTCTGCCAGCACAGTGCATGTCAGAGACATCAAATAAGTTATCTTTCTGGCTGGTTTCAGGACATTGAGGTACAGCACCCATAGTCCAGTTTGGGATAGATCATTTTTCCAACATCTGCATTTATTAAACACCAAGAAAAATGGGAAACTGGTTATTGCAAATCTTGGCTGGAGCACACTGAAGCAACTGCAGAGTTCAAAGTTCACTCAAAAGGAAAAGTGGAAGAACCACCTCAAGACCACATGACTATGTTGAATTCGCTTTCTCAGGGGATCTCATGTTGCATCATTTACCTGAAAGAGAGGAAACATCAGTGAACAGAAAAGGACAGATGGAAGCAGAAAAGAAGGAGATTATTAACTTGTGTCAAATTCAAGAGCACCTGCTTTTCCATTTCAAGAGGGCAGGTCACTGGGAATTTACTTGTCTCTATGTCAGAAAGGTGAATTTTTAAAGATAAAATCATAAATTTGATAGAGAACCTCCTAATTTATAAATGATAAATAATAAAACAAATAAACTCGCCGAAGTGGTTTAGAGCAAACACTCTTTCACGATTGCCATATGTCCAATCCTACTTCTTTGCCTGGATTGGATTTCTCCCTGGAGAGGAGGAGACTCCCAATTTATTTCACTCTGATGAAGATACATTGCAGAGTCTGCTCTGAGAGTCAGCAGATGGGATATATCTTCTGGGCAGGATGCCAGGGCTCTGTTCTTTGGTGGGAAATAGCCTCCAATTTCTTGCCATTCCCTGGAAACATTTATAAATGAGTCACTGGAATCCTCAATTTAATCTTCCTAACACATCCCAGGTGACTCAGTTTGCAGTTCAAATAAATGTGCACCAAAATTAAAAGGCACTTAGATGGCTGTGTTAATAATTGCTGTGTCGGCAGCAACAGCTACTGCATAAGAATGAGGGGAGATATTTGAAGTTAGAAGAAATCTTACAACAAGTTGGACCCCTGATTTCTGGGTCTCACCCTAATCCTTAGGTGGAGAAAGAGGTCTTGGAAGGACCTCGGTGAGTCCAAGAAGAGTAGGTACGTCAGCTTTTGGAAAAGGAGAATCACATTGAGTGGGTAGCATTGTCTCAACCTGGGGAGTGAGGACAAGATTTTGCTTTGTTCAGTGATCAGACTTAAGCTTGAGGGAGAAGAGAAGCCCAGTGGCAGTTATTTCTCTCCTTAAAGAATTGCAACTTAGCTCTATAGTACTTAGTCTCCCTGGCAGTGAGCCATTTGGGCTTGAAGAGAGACAAGAGAGAGGAAGCCTGCAAGACAGGAAGAATGGGGACTTTGGAGTCTGGCCAATCTAGATTTGATTTGAAGCTCTGGCAATTACCAGTTAGCCTCAGTTTCACAATGTGGGGGAAACCACTTAGCTTTTGAATCCTTAGTTATGTCCTCTCTAACATTGTGATAAAAAGTAATATGCTGTTGTGAGGAAGGAGTGAAGAGCCGTGTCCTGTGTGGGGGAGCTGCATGTGGACCTTCATCTGTGGTAGCAGCTGCTGCTGTGGCCAGCAATTCTGCCTCTCAGTTTCTAGATCTACCAGTGACAAGGCAACTTTTTTTTTTTTACTTTAAGGATATCCAGAATTTAATGACATGCTGAAGTTTAATAGACGCTATTTTGTATCCCTTTATAAATGGGGACCAGCAATTACATTTGATGTAAACAGATGCCAAGAAGTTTAAACCAAAATACCTGAACCTGGAAGTAAAAATTCTTTGTCTGAAAGTCAAAGAACCAGGATCAGGATGAAACATGATGGATTGAATGGCCTCCTGTGTCTTCCATCTTTCTCTCTTGGGACTATTTGCAGTCTATGTTTCCATACAGGTGTTATCTGTAGGAGGTGACCCGAATCCAGGAAATACCCTTGAGACTGGGCTATTGCTGAGGGTCCAGAGCCAGGCCCATTAGAAACAGTGAGCAAACCGTGACCAACTTTCTCATGACCCCTCTTGAAGCAGAAGGCCCTACAAGTCTAGATGGAAGCCATGGGGTATTGGGTGGTGGAAGGATGCCATGACTGGTGTTTATCTTCTCCTCTAAGACCTTCAGTATAACTACAACTGGTAAGCTAAGGAGTCTGATTAGGACTGGGTGGAGGCCCTTAGGATCAGAGAAAAGGAGTCTGATATTCAGGAATTTAAGGTAGGCTTTTTCCTGTAGCACTTGAACCCTATCCTGGCATCAAATTTAAATACAGAAGCTCCGCTGAAGACAGCTGGAGAGGTCATATCTTTATGATCTAACATCATCCTCTTTCTTTTTCTTTTTTAAAATTGAATCACTGTGAAATACACAGTTACAAAGTTGTTTATGATTTCAGTCACGCAGTGTTCCATCATCCATCCTTTCACCGGTGCACATTTCCTGCCACCAATGTCCTCTTTCTTAAGGCAAATAGCCAGCTTGTTTGTTATTGGAGACACAATGAATCAGAATTTTTTTGTTCTACCTCATATCTTACACATGTTGTTCCCCTGGTGTGGAAAATACTCTCCTCCCAAATATTTTTCTGATACACCCCATTTTCCCCTTTAGGTCTCAACATTCAAGGCACATTCCTAGGGAGAATTTTCTTATGCATGTCAAATGGGCCTCTAGTTGTTCTCTGTGTTTTTATTTTGTTTACTTTGGAGCCACACCCAACTATACCCGGGGCTTACTCCTGACTTTGCACTCAGAGATCACTCCTGCAGCTGCTTGGGGAACCATAGACATATGAGGAGTAAGGAATCAACCTGGGCCAGTTGCATGCAAGGAAAGCTCCAGACCTGTTGTAATATCTCTCCAGTTCCATAGTTGTCCTCTTTCTTAATGCTTCTTTATTTTCTCTCTCCCATTAATCAAAATTAGCATTTATATTAACTTTCACAAATGTTCATTTTCTCTTTCCCGCTGCTTGCATGTAAGCTTAAGGGGACCAAGGCCTGATCTTTTTTGTTTACCCTACCATCCAGTCACCAACTGTGCCTGACAGAGTTTGCTCAGGAAATAGTTATTGAAAGGAGGAGTTAATAGCTGTCACATTGTAGGTTTCATATCCCATCTCTGATTTCCGCCCCCTGCCCCATGAGCATAGACAATTTCCCTCTCTAGTAATTTCTTCCCTCACCTATAACAGCTGCCAAAATTTTCTCCCAGAGTCATTGGGGAAGCCCAGTGAGCTAACTGAAATGAAACCACCTGGTAATGAAGCTGTTTTGTTCCTCTTTATTGTCCAGAACTGTGCCAAGAGGCGTCCTCTGGAGAAGTCTTCCTGTTGGCCTCTGTGGCCCTTGCCAATATCACCTTCTTTGACACAATGGCCTGTGAAATGCTCCTGCAGTTGAATGCTATCCGTGTCCTTCTGGAAGCCTGCAGTGACAAGCAGAGAGTGGATACACCTTATACACGTGACCAGGTGAAATGCTCGGGAGGTCTGGGGTCCTGGGAAGCTGGCTAGAGGAGCTTGGTGTCTGAGAAAATTGTCTCATGCACATGCCCAAATGCATATGAAAGGTCTAATAACACTTTGATGGTAGGAATAATGCTTTATTTCATAGATAAGTATTTGAGGTTCAAGTAGTCTTTCGAGTCCTGTGGTTGGCAAGCAGTCAGTACTTAAACCCTGACCTGACTTAGATCACAGTCTTTTTTTTTGGGGGGGGGTTGCTTTTTTTATAAGTTAGTTCACAATATTTGATTACATTTAATATTCAAACACCAATCCCACCACTGTTACTCCTTCCCACCACCAAATTCAGAATGTTTCCATCCCAAACCCAAATCCCTGTCCTAAAACACAACCAAAAGAATATATTTTGTATTGTATACTATGAAGAACTTCTGAACATGCTTAAAAAAGAGTGTTCATGTAGGAAACAGTGTGAAGATTGTTCTATTTTGGCAGGAGCCATTAAGACATTCTATAGGATATCACTAATAGGTTGTTAAAGTTTGGGTGATGTGAGCTTTGGTATATATATCTGAAAATATGTATATATGCATGTATATATATTTACCTCTATGATTTGTTGCCTCAAAGTCTCCAATGGAGACGTTACTGGGCCCGCTCAAGCAAATCGATGAACAACGGGAGGACCGTGATTTGTTGCCTACTGTATGAACTCCACCAAATATGGTGTGGCAATTATGGAGAATGGGTAGGGATTGTCTTATGATGTGTCGCACAGCCTCAGAAGTGTCCCTGTGGTCAGGAATATGTTCACTCATATGTGAGGCTTGGCCCGAGCGAGTGGGGAGTGGCCTGCAGCGTGGTGGTGGTTGGGTTCTGGAGATCTGCTGCTGGGGCTGGGTCCCCCTCTCTGGGGCACCCTGAGTGAAAACAGCCTGGCACAGAGTCCTGTGGCATGGCTATGGGGGCCTCATTTTATGCTCCCATCAGGGAGAAGCACAATCTCACAATTTTGAGATCACAATCTTTGATGTCCATCTGTAGCTTCTGTGAATATGAAGTGGAGATCATGTCACTGTGGGGTCAGAAAGATAGTCTTTGATATTGATATTGAACATTTATAGTCCCAGACCATCCATTAATTGGATGACTTTAGGTAAGGCCTTGCCTCTTAGGTATTGTAGGTATTGGTTTTCTTATTAACTATAAACAAATATCAACCTTGAAGGGTTATTATGAGGCTGAATCAGATAATCTATGTATATATAGGGCTTGACTCAATACTTACTCACCTCTTACTAAATCTTTAATCACTTATCACTTAATCACTTAATCCCCGTTATTCATCGATTTACTCGAGCGGGTGCCAGTAATGTCTCCATTCATCCCGGTTGCGTGCTAGCGTAGCCCAATGGTATCTGTTCATTCTAAGAACATGCAGAGCCCAAACCTGTCATTCAGGGTCTTGACAAAGAAGTCTGACCATCTTGTAAGTGGGCGTCCACGTGATCTTTTGATGTCCCGTGGAATCCAATCAGTAATGGCTCTAGTCCAGCGGTTGTCTGTAAACCTCATTACGTGTCCAGCCCATCTGATTTTTGATGTCTTGGCAAATGAGACAGCATCCCTGACTCTTGAGCGTTGATGAAGATCAGAACTCCGGATTCTATCTCTCATTTGAGTGAATCGTGATATTCCAAGCATACCTCTTTCGATTCCTCTTTGAGAGACCCGAATAGCGTTTTCATCCTGTTTTCATAGGATCCAGGTCTCTGAGGCATATGTTAATGCAGGAAGAACAGTGGAATCAAAGAGATGTGCTCGTAGCTGGAGGTTCTTTGTCCTTTTAGTTATTTCTTCAACGTTCTTGAAGGCATTCCAAGCCGCTCTCTTCCTCCTGCGCAACTCAGGTGCCAGGTTATTCATCATGTTGATTTCTCGACCTCGGTATATATAACTCTTGCATTCGGAGATGGTGGTTCCGTTGAGAGCGAATGGAGCGTCAGGAACAAGGCTGTTTCTCATAAACATTGTCTTCGTAAGATTCAGCTGTAGTCCGACCTTTCCACATTCACGGTCAAAGTCGTTCAGCATTTGTGCCTCTTGGCTGATGTTTGGTGTTATTAGAACGATGTCATCAGCAAAGCGGAGGTGGTGTAGTTGCCGACCATCTATCTTCACTCCCATGCTTTCCCATTCCAGTCGTTGCATGATGTTCTCGAGGGTGGCACTGAAGAGTTTTGGTGAAATGGTATCACCCTGCCGAACCCCTCTCTTGATATGGATGATTACTTCTTTGTAGAATGGTGAGATGTTGGTGGTGAATCCGCAATAGAGCTCACGAAGGATCCTGATGTATTGAGTTTGTACGCCCTGATTGGCTAGGGCTTCCATGACCGCTTCCGTCTCAACAGAATCAAAGGCCTTCTTTAAATCAATGAATGTTAGACAGAGTGGCATCTTGAACTCCCCAGAAACCTCAATGAGCTTAGTAATCATGTGGATATGGTCGATGGTACTGAATCCTTTTCGGAATCCGGCTTGTTCACATGGTTGTCCTTCATCTAGTGTTCTGCTAATCCTATTCAGGATGACTCGAGTGAACAGTTTGTAGACGACAGACAATAGACAGATTGGGCGATAGTTGCCAATGTCGTGGATGTCTCCCTTCTTGTATAGTAGTACAGTCCTGCTGGTTTTCCATTGGGATGGAACCTTGCATTCAGACAGGTAGCTTATGAAGAGCCGAGCCAATGTATTGATGAGTACTGATGGTAAGTTCTTCAAGTGTTCAGGTCTGATCTTGTCTGGGCCAGGTGCTCTTTGTTTCTTTACCGACGGGATGGCATGTTGGATTTCAGAAGGGAGAACATTGGGAACGACATATCCATCATGTGGTATGTGGTATGTGGGCAAGTGGACGTGGCTATTAAAGAGATCTGAGTAGAAGACATGAATAATCTTCTCCATTGCCCTTCTGGAAGATGTGATAGATCCATCATGATGTCAGAGGGCAGTCATCTTGGTTTTGTAGTTGGTGAAGGACAGGCGGGCATTACGAATGCTTTTCCCAGCTTCTGCTGCATCTACCAGTACTGCTGCTCTCCTGTTTTTGAGGTCATCCTTGATGGCTTCTCTGCACTGTTTTGCCAGTTCAGATGTTCGCTTGTGGTTGCCTGAGGCATGTGCCAAGCCACGTTGGCGAATAAGTTCAAGAGTGTTTGAAGAAAGGCGGTTTTTTGTGGTTATCTCTCTCTTGGCATTCCTCGCACAATCATGGAGGTGCTGAATCATTCGATTGTATTCCTCATCAATGTTGTCAATGACGGCATCTTCCCATGTTGCCGCAACAGAGCCAAAGAGCTCCCAGTTGGTGGTCGTTCTGGGAGTCCTCTTCTTAAACCTTGCATTCTTTTCTCCTCGTTCCGTGAGGTAGAATTTTGCACGAAGAAGACGGTGGTCTGATCCCGTTTGGAATTTTGGGACAACAGCAACATCGGTTAGGCCAAACCGCCGATTGAATATGATGTGGTCTATTTCATTGTGGAACCGTCCATCGGGAGACTCCCATGTCCAACGTTTAGATTCAGCCTTTTGGAACTGTGAGTTACCATGGAAGGTTTTGGTTGACATGATGAACTCAGACAGTCTGTCACCCTGTTCATTCCATTCTAGGCCATGGGTCCCGATGTGGAGTTCATTGACTGATCTTATTGGTCCTATCTTGGCATTAAAATCACCGACAATGATCTTGTAGAAGGTGTGATCTTCTTTATAGAACTTCTTCAGCTCATGTAGAACTTCTCAGTTTCTCTTTCACCATAACTGGATGTTGGTGCATAGACAACAAAGATAGAAACTGCCTGTAGTGAGCCACATCTATTCAAGTGTAATCGTCCAATTCGGGTTGTTAGGCGTTCGAATGAATCAATGCTCGTGGCTAAGTTTGTGTTGACAAGGATACCGACACCACTGACGCCACTTTTATCACATGTTCCAAGGAACAGTTCTTCTCCAGTGTCGAAAACGGCATTATGTGATTGATGTCTTCTCATTTCGGTCAGACCAGTGATGTCGTACTTGATCTTTCGCGCTTGTACCATAAGGCCTTCAATGGATGCAGCAGATGCCAGTGTACGAGCATTAAAAGTACAGATAATCATTTTTGTTTTTCTTCGTTTTGGCAGCCTATTTCTGCCTTGGTATTTTATCAGCCTTTCCTTCCATATCCTTCTCGACTCTGCCATATTCAGGGTTAGGGGAATGAGATCCATTTATTACTGGATTTGGCATATCAATTTGGTCTATTTGGCATAGACCACGGATAGCTTGCCAGGCTCTGCAAATAAATCTTTAATAAATGCTGAATATTATTGTTTTTCATACTTGATGTTCTAAGGAAGAGCACAAAAAGGATTGTTCAGGGTCCTCAATTTGACCTTTTATGTCAGACATGTTGTGATTTCACTTTTCCATCCAGTCTAATCCTTCATGATTAAAGTTGGGCAAGGCCCCTGCACAGACAAGGTGTAATTTCACTAACAGAAATAGAACAATGGCACCCAGGATGATTTTTGACTTGGCTGGTGAGAGGGGCCCGTCTAGCGTCTATTTCATTTACTTTCCATGACTATGGGTAATAAGACTAGGAACCCACCCAGTATGAGTTTCCTTGCTCCCATTCTTCTTTTTCTGACATGGATATGTCTAGAAGTTCATTCTCTCACCTACCAAAATTGATTTTAGGACCCTTCATTTTGGAGTGCCAGTCCAAACAAACACATTTTGTTGTTTCATATAAGATTCAGTAGAGAGGCAATAAGAGCCAGGATTGGGGGACAATTGATCTGGATTAAATGCTTCTCTGCTATTAGTAATAATATACCTTTGGAAAATTTACCCAAAGTCTCACTTTTCTCATTTCTAAATGGGGTAGAGTAATACCTAACAAAGTTGAAATAAGAATTAAACAAGCACATATAAACTCTTGTTGTAGTTCTTTGGAC